CACTTGGGTTGTTACCAACATCTGGTGAAAATTTCATGTCATTAGCACCTCTATTAATATATTTACTGTGAAAAATGTTGACGTGTACAATACTTATTTTACCCGCTGTATATAAGAGTTGAGTTAGGGTTGGGTGATAAATCGATTTAAACAATTGATCAAATTTGCCATTTATAAAGATTTAATTTTGGGAAAATAGAGATTTTTTTCCCACCAGGGCACTCTTTGGAGCTTCTGTATTTCAGAGGTCACCCCACCTGTCCCTCAAGACGCTTGGTGCACAACATGACAATATGGCAGCTAGCAGAGAGGCACTGTTTCTTCAGTTTTCTGGAACTGGTTAGGTTTTGCAATCTCTGACTTGGAGCAACAAACACCTCATTGCAAACTCTTTTTAAACGCTCTTGCTACAAAAAGCAGGAGTACAACAAATTTGTTTGGACACCTGAAACAGAGGCACTCCGTTAAGTGGGAAACAAATCGATTAAAATCAAAAATCGAATTTGGGATTTGAGAAATTTTTTTTGGGCCATATCGCCCAGCCCTAAGTTGAATATTGTCGTAGAACAAAAAACAGTTACACTAAAAATAGTGACATTATAAAGGTGATTTGTTACTTTGTTATTTAAAAGAGGTTGTAGTTTTTTTTAATTGCAACCTGTAATTTATTTCAGTTTACTTTTATTAATTGTTCAAAAAAGGTTGAGGTGAGAAATAAACTACAATGGAGTTTGAAAACAAAATATCTGTGTGTCTGCTAAGAAACATGGGACTGGGGATTGGGTCAGCAGAAATAGTTTAGGAACCTCTGGGCTATAGCATGACAAGGTGAAATAAACACCTAATTATTGTGCAAGAAAGTAAATTTTGTTTCACTGGCAAACCCCGTACTACAATACAGATATAACAACGGTTCTTTACCTTTTAATAAAAACGTGATCAATACGGTGTCTTGTATAAACTACTTGATCACTTCGGTCTTTTAACAACAACAAGGTTAACTTCATGTAGTTTGCCACTTATTACAGATATAAGATGTCACTGTGGGCCTGAGGCCTGCATTATGGGCTTTACTAACTGCACAGTCTGCTTCTTCATTACCAATAATACCATCACAAAAAACAACATTTTAAAAGTTCCTGTTTCTGTAAAACACAGATGATCATGGACATCACCGACATCCATCATTAAAAATTCTAGTTTGTTAAGACATTATCTTGAAAAAGAAAAATAGAGTTCTGTTTGGTGCGAGATGCTGACAAGTTGGATAAATAAAATAGAGAAAAGTGAAACGACTGGCAGCTCTCCTGTCTCCAGCTCCACCATTCAAACTCTTACAGAGTCAGTCCAGGCAGAGCCATTTGTAAACTATCTCAACTAATCCCTTGAGTCACAGCAAGAGGCCAGTCAAAACAAAAAGAGACTAACAGCAAAACCTATAAATAGAGAGTGAAATACATCTATGATTAGGCTAGGGGGGATGGAGTGGGGAGTTCGTGAAACAATCACCTCGTCGCAGGCCTGGCAGCGGGGCTTGAGCCTCTCAGCGTGGTGCCGGCCGCAGTAAATCTGTCCATCCTGGTAGAAGTAGATCAGATCGACCAGCAGCTCGTTGCAGGACGCGCACTGGAAACACTGAGGGTGCCAGCAGCAGCCGTGTCCCGCCCGACTGGCAAACACAGCCATATCTCCACCGCAGATCTGTCTGCCACACTGGAAAAACAGAGGTGGTTGGGTGGAGGTGGGGTGCAGAGGGAAGGAAGTTAGATGGTATATGTTTTAACAAAAGATGGAAACTTTAATTTGCACAGTAATTTGCTCACACAGCCCCTGTGATCTTTGAATCTCGGCTGCTGTGGCCCCACTGTGCCCACAGGGCTCTGACGTGTTTTAATAAGCTTTCACATCTGTGCACTGATGCTGCACAAAAACTGGGCCTAAGCTGTAAAATGTGATCAAATCTGCTGAATTTTCTATATCTAAAATAAAAAWTTTCTGCACCTGATGGCAGATGGCTCCGGTCATGGTTACAGGGAAAAGTCTCACAACACCTCGGCCCAGATTTTCTTTTTTTCTCTGCTGGCTGAACAGACGAAGCTCTTTTTTCTCCTCCTCGTCCAGAGAGTTGCAGTACTGAGCCTGAAGCAGCAAAAACAAATTCATTTAGACCTACAGTGAGGATTGTACACAAACAGCATCAAAGCTDTTTTCACCATAAGTTTTTCTGACGGTTATTTTTCAGATGAGTGAGCAAATAGTTTGGATCATACGCAGTGATGGTGATGTTACCTCAGTATCGTGGGTCGGCAGCTGGTGCAACAGCTGTTTGATTCTGTATCTCTCCCCTGGACTGTTCACATAAGGCACCCTGTCATCTGGTAAGCAGCTAAAATACTGGTACACCTGTATGAGAAGGCAAGTATGCTCACAAAGGCAGAAATGAGAGACTAGAAACAGCAATTTCTCAGATTACAGAGCATTTTATTCAAGTGCTGACATAAATCCAATTGAGAATGTTTTCCTTGTTGCCTTGCAAACTGTCTAATAGGTTGAGTCTCTGCACGAACATGTCCAGGTAAGGCAGAGCATCTTCCGTGTCTGCGTAGCATTAATTTATAGCTTGACTCTGAGGCTGTTCTGCGCCACGGTTTCTTACCTGTTCGGGCTTGAGCCCAGGAGGAACCCAGGAGTACTCCTCGGAGGCGCATCCCGAGTCGTCGTCAGAGATGGAGTGCCTCTGGAAGTCCGATACGAGCTTCGTCATCATCTTTTCCAGCTGCCCCGGCACCGAACGCACCGCATGCTCCTCCCGCACACACTTACAGTGCACACAGATCTTCCTGTGGAGACAGAGACGGTCTGAGGCTTCGTCCTTCTGGAYGTCAGATCTGATTTACGACACAAGCGAAAGCTGATCAGGCGTCTAATGTTTCACTTAACACTGCAGGTGGTTCGCAGAAAGTTTTGAACCTCACACGCAACTAAAGGTGTATTTTKTTTCTCTTTTGCTGTCAAAAAGTAGATAAAACTGTTTAAAACTGAAATTAGYTTGGAAAAATGTGCAGCTGATTTTAAACTTATCTGAAAAGAAGCTCAAAATAGCAAAAACAAACTCAAACAAGAAAGATTCTCAAAGTAATTACATGGTTTTATACCACGTTCAAGTCATTCCAGTTGCTGTCAAACGTATAATTTATGAGCACACAGAGTTGGAGAYATGACGTCACAATCCGGCCCACAAACATTGTTCAGGCTGACTAAACTAAACCTGTTGTCAGAGTTAATACACAACTGTTGTCACAACATGATTGGCAACACAAAGAAACACAACAACCACATGGTTTCTGACAAACTGGGATCAGTTCGTGCCCTCTTCACCCCGTCCCCTCACGGGATCTGCATCTGGACAGGAGCATCTCTGCCAAACGAGCGACAAATGAGGTCATGGACATAAGCCTGGCTGTCAATCCAGACCGGTCCAGAGAGGGAGGCGGAGACCGGATCAGTAATCCCCCTCTGCCTCGTACTACAACCATCTTGTTCTCCAACCCTGCATCACATTCGATCTGAAGGAGGGTGTGACTGTGTGTGTGGGACTGGTGGAGTCAGAACAAAGTGCCCCGGGCTGAAAGTGTGGTGTGGGTGTCACGCATTAGAGTGGGTGTGACAATGTGGCGGCGGTATACAGTATCTACTTGGCGTGGAGTGCTACACTGTGATTGCGTAACAGCTCACCAGCTGGTGCTTGTGGCTCAAGTTCGTGAGGCACAAAGCTGCTTTATTCGAGCACCCAATCCCCACGGAACCAAAAAGCTTGCACACCCAAACACGGACCACTGGTGTACGGAGGAGTACTGCTCCTCTAGTCAACAGGTTCACAAAAACTGGGCACTCTAAAATGTTAGCARCTGCTGGTGACAGCTAAATAATTGTAAATGTTCTCTTTCCCTAATCATCACAAGGTAATTATTGAGAAGATGACAAAACGGTGACTAAAATAACTAAATTTTATCCAACCCTCGACTATAAGTGCTGCTAAAATCTATGTTAGAACCCTAAATGTCCATTGTTAGGAAGCAAACAGAAAACTGTAAATAGCAGCAAACAGCAAGTCAGTTTAGGTCAGGTTTATGGCACATTGGCACAAATCTGTGTCCAGCTGTGTTTGTGTTCCTGTTTTAACAGAAACAGAGCACAATCCCTACGCAAGACTTGGACAGGACAGTCAGAGAGCTGGTACGACAGGACAGATGGTAAAAACACATCTCAGTGGTTTATCCTCCACCAGTAGCTACACATAATGAAAGCATCTGCGATGGGTTTATTATCTGCAGGTGCTAACCCTCCTAGGAACACAAGAGTCTGAAAAAGAAGTCACAATCTGGAGCTTTTTAAAAAGGTAAAAAAGTGCTCTGAAGTGAAAAGTGTCAAACCATCTCTTTCTGCAGATTTCAACTAATGCCTGATTTGTGCTACACACTAAAATCAGTTAAATATAGTCTGCATACACAATGAATACATATAGAAATTAAAATACAGCATAGTTTGGACAAATCTACATATCTATTTGTTCTGAATTAGGCTTAACTAACATCTGATTGGTTATCATTTCTTTTGAAAAAAGTAACACAAGTAGTTCAGTGTTTTGTGCTAACAATACAGAACAAAGTAGTTTAAATGCTAGTTGGAGGAGGCCTTTACAACTTTAGCGATATTCACCTCTGCGATTCGGTCAGTACCAGCTGTGTGAAGCATCACCCTGTTTGACTGAACCACAATCCTGTGATGTAACAAACTAAGCCTTATCCACACTGGATAGGCACCACATTTAATTATGTTTATCCAAAAACTAATTAGAGTATCAGAATGAAGGGCGGTAAATAAAAAAGGATAGTTCAATTGCCGCAGTGGATACGTTTAGCCTGATAACCTGATGACTTTAAGAGAGACAGGGTCTTATTTTCCCCAACAGAATGTACCTGAACAGATGTGCACCTGGCCTTGCTTGAGTGAGGTCAGCCACAACTGTTGATCTAATTTGGTTTGGTTTTTTAACGCTGCACAGAGGTGAAACCCCAGGGGAAAAAAGATCTGTTCAATTCTTTTTTAGGAAAAAAAACAATAATGCATATTTTTTTCTGGAGTACGATGTGCTGAAGAAGATAAATTAGGACAAACTGAAATAATTCATAAGAAAATATTGAAATCCTGTTTTAGGATTAGTGTACAGTGTACTCTGAAGTACTACACTGAACCCAGTGGCTGTGAGTTTTACTACCAGGGGTCACGACAGATACTGCTTTGGACAGGCATCAACAATCTGCCTCAAACTTTGTTTTGCTGAACCACAACATTGTCACCGAGACTAAACGTACAGCTGGTGGTATTAAAGGGTTTAAACTGTTTACTATTAATGTTCATAGCTACTAAATGATTTAAAAGTAATTATGAAGCAAATTCACAGAGGAAATATAATAACAGATTGTTCCAACAAAGAGAAATAATTAGAACTGTAGAAAAAAGGACTAAAGGTTGCTCATCGTTGTATGAATGTGACTCATTTAACAGCTTATTCTTTTAGTCAGGGCGTTAAAACTCACTCTACTCTTTCCATGAACTTAAACGTGAATATATTTCAAGGTTTTATAGGATACACAATGGAGTTGTCTGATAGTCCTATGGACATATGGCTTGCACTTTACACACAAAACAACATAGTTAGACAATGACGCACAAGAACCCCTAAAGACACACAGAGAGTCTGCTTTCATCTCTCTTAATGACTGTTTCTGGTTCCAGTCCATCTAAGCCAGTAACGCAGTAAAAAAAAATGGAGCTTCCTCATTACCTTCGGCAATAATCATGACAGATTAGTCCCAGTCAGCGTGCTGAAGCTGTCCCATCCAGACTGAAACTAGAACCATGCCGTGTCCAYGAGTTTCTGGTGCCTGACAGCGAGTCACTGAGAGCAGGATGTGTCCCTGTCCAACTGATCACTTCTCTGTCTGCGCTGCTCTTTTCAACATAATGACTCCCACCCTCCTCCGTCATGCATGGGTGTGTGTGTGTGTGTCATCAAAAGGCTTCATCACACCGAATTCAACCAAACAACTATTTAAAAAGACAAAAATATTTCAATACTTTTACAAGCGGAAATCATTTTCAGACTAATTTTTAAATGATAGGCTGAAATATTAAAAAATTCCTGGAGTTTATGCAGAATTTTATGTGTAAAAGTGTGCCGACGCTGCCTGGGATGGGTCCATTTGACAGTCACACACTCTGCTGTTCCTCCTGCGACCAACCTGCTGTAACTGATTCACAGCACGACAGGATCGCTGATGTCACTGTTAATCAGGAAAAGAGCAGCAGATTTTCAGCCTGCGAGCAATGCTGTGCCGCATTTGTCATTTTATGAGATGAAGATGGCCGCGCAAAACATGAAAGTGTCTCTGGAGAAATACCAAACTCTGAGAAATACTTTGAAAAGTCACGACACATCTCTTCTGATGCTGTTCACTCACCGAGGCTTAAAACACTACTCTGACATCATTTCAGACACTCTATGCTAAACACCACATCCMGACTTTTTAGTTGTGAAGAATTTCAGCTTCTTAGCACTGATGTATGAATACACACCCAGCATGTTTTAAACATTCGGCCTGTCCAAAAAAAAAAGGTAATCTGAAACTTGGTCAGTTACATCGCAGCTTAGTGTCACAGCAACTAATCAAAAGGACAACTGTCAGATTGATCATCTGTACATTTTATTATTTTTAGTCTTAATTTGATATTTTATTTACTGTATTTTACCCATGACACTCACCAAACCTGTCAATATACCAAACATCATCTCTTGTTACATGATGTACRCATTTTCTCAATATTTCCATTATTTTTACTGTACATTGTTTGTGTGCACRTAAGTATGCTCATTTWGTAATCCTGGGTGTTTGTACTTATTTTATTCTAGTGCGCTTCTTTCTTTTCACTTTTATCTGATCTGAACAGTTGCAGCTGTAATTTCCCTTGGGAATCAATAAAGTATTCTGATTCTGATCAATACAAAAAMAWTTCTCTAGAAAACAAATTCTTTAGATAAACTACTTGCTGGTCATTATTATTACACTGTGGACCAGTGTGTTGTTATTAAAACTAATTGTAGATCGAGTACAGCAGCCATATGTTGATCGTTTAGATCCGAGGCTAACATCGGGGGTATGACAGTGAGCTCTCCTCAGATCTGTCTCCAAGAAACAGATGGGTCTTGTCCCATAACTCTCTGCCACTTAGATGGGACTGAGTAATTGCCACATGGCTTCTGAGACTAATAGCACTGGTGACTTCGAAGACTTTTGGAGCCTGGTGGGGACCCGTGGGTCAGAAGTAACTCAATTCACTTGGTGCTGAGCAGCGGAAGCACCATCTGCCCCCCACCTCAGTGGGAGCTCTGTCTGAAAAAGCCCGGGATGAAGATGGATCACTTCCCTCTCAGCGAGCATGAGCAGCTGAGCCTGCGGCCACTTGGTTTATCTTCTCCATCAATGAAGGTGTGACTCACAATTGCTTATTAAAGAGGATGCAATTAGAAGCAGACTCTGGGGGTTTTAAAAAACGACCTCTATAAATCTCAATCATCTAATAACTTTCATGTTGCTCATCCTCCCAGATCAGCTGAAAGACTTCAGATCGCTAAAAAAAAATCATTTGTTTTTCTCCTCTCACCAAACATTAAAAAACAGAAAATAAAGTGGATTATTCTGCACCCCTCATAATGTTATAATATTATACATAATATTATTTGTTTATTTACCTAGCTGTGTAATAAACCTGATAAGGT